CAAAACTAAAGCTTCGAATGAATTTTTTGATCAGTTTAATAAAACCAGTCGCTAATACACATATACCTACTTTTAGTCAAGTGGAAAATGTATTATTTTTTTTAAGTATTTCAATGATAATTATGATGAAAGTGATTACATAAAATCTGAATTTTACAGAAAGAGGAACTTATTGAATATGCTGCATTAAAGAACATATAAAACCAGGCGTCTCGTTGATAAAAACCTGTTGCATTTTGGGCACCAAGGTCAATCTCCCAATATCAACTAGGAAGTACAACTTCCTTTGACATGTCAAAAATAAGTCCGTGTACATCCCTTGTGAAATCTTCAGTTCTAATGGAAGTATAGTCTGTATTGTCTGAAAGGTAATTCATTTTTTCAATATTTGATTTCAATGTTGGATTTAAATTACAAGTTAAAATGTATTTTAGTAAGAATTGACTGCAGCCACTACTGAAAATTCATCAATTTCGACTTACCTTTTAAAGCTCTAATAATACAAGACCGCCACATACAATATTATTATTTTTCATCTAGCCACTAAAAATATGTATCAGTATTGAATTACATAATGTTATTAAGCTAATTTTTAAAGCAAGTGAGGCATTTTTACTCTATGGGGCAGTACCTACCTATATAAAATATACGTATTTTAATTTATCCAATTAATCACTGAAGTCAAAATTCAAGACTTTTTCTATATTTAGAGTTCTGTTGGTCGATAGTGCATTTTCTTATAATAAAATTGTGATATCGCAGCTGTCATACGAAATACCACTGCAGTCTTGCGTGTTTATAAATAGAAATGTTTTACTAAATTTGTTTAAAAAAATTGTGAAATGCTATAAGTCTAACTTTGTGGGTTTATATGAGACTATTTCATAATATTTGAAAAAGTGTTTGTAAGTTTTTAAGTTTTTCTAGTACCAACGCATAGGTAAAGAACTATCTTTAAATAGCTTTTTCTCAAAACTAAACTTTTTCAATCGTGGCAGTATTGTTCTATAGTGATGAACTCGACAGTGAATGACAATGAACACAAATATCGACTATATTTTGTTCAAATTTAGGCGTCCGAGCAAAAAATGAACAAAAGTATTATGGAAGCCGAGAGCAACGAAGACAAAATGGCAGAAGTGTACAACGCGATCACAGGAGACTTTTTGACGGAAAATCCCGAACTCGGGTTCAACAGTGCTTTAGGGCCCGGAAAAATATCGACGTCGCTCTACAAATTATTAACGCCGGCCATGAATCAAGCGATATACGATGAACAAGCCAGTCAAAGAGCAGAACTTAAGGTATTTCATCTTCGTACAATTAAGAATAAATTAAAATTACTAATGAGTAATGATCAAAATAGTTTATTATTAATTTTATAATAATATTTACCTACCTAGCTGTCCCGCCCGGTGTAACCCGTGATAAAGATTTTATTTTTTTTTGTAAAAAAATGTGTATTGGTATATGCTATTAGGTACAATTTCTGTAAATTCTCATTTCGCCTTGATCCCACACTAACCTCAACAAGTTAGGGGATTTTAAAAATGTATATTATGCACGTATTTATGGGTGTATCTATTATTATATATTTCATCCCCCGTTGTAGAATTCCTAAATAAGCCACTGCATAATATAGTTGCTTAATTACTATGTAGTGTGTACTACTAGTATGTAATTGTTTTGAAAATTTTGATGAACATAATTCAAAATTCAAATGGGTAGTAGTTTCTTAGTTATTAAAATGTTTGTACTAAGGATAATAGTTATTAAAAATAGTTTTACAGAAGTATAAAAAAAACGTAATATTTGATCTAGTATTTATTATACATATATTTGGGCCATTTACACAAATTATTAATGTTGATAGATTAATATTAATTATTAGAATTTTCAATTTAAAACAGCTCACATATCTATTATAAACCCGTTCGAGGATCATTCAACAGAAAGTTAAGTCACTTAAAAACTACTGGTAAACATTTTTATTCTGATTCGTCAAATTTTCCAAAATAATTATCCACTGAATAATTTACAGTTGAAAAACTGGACACTCATTAAGAAGTAAAAAAAATCTCGAGCATTTTAAAATATTATGGTTTTTCAGTGAATTTAAAAATTCCAAAAAACAGATTTTGAATAACTGCATATTATTTTTATTGAATAAAAAAAGAGGAAGGACATGCTTATTGAATCATCCTGTAATAAAAATATTTTTATTTGTACACAATATAGGTACATACTACTTTTTTAGTTTTAAAAATCCAAAATATCACGACTGTTCTTAAATATTAGAATTTATTATTATTTTAGAATCGGGTCGGAGCGATGAATTGATAGATTTTACAATATTATTTTCTTTAAAGTTTAAATAATATGTAGGTAATTCTTAATTTAAAAGAATAATTCACCAACATATTATTAATATAAAATATGTATAAATCTAACATTAAAATAGCAATACCCAACTCTTGTCAGGATTTGAATTGGACAAAAATTAAGACAATTCATTTAGGTACTTTTAAATGAATTCGGGTTATTTTTGTAATTAACTACAAATATTTCAGAATTTATTGGTAATGTATCGAGAGTTATAGTAGATATATAATATTGTATGCCCTCTCCGTCCATGAAGTATCCTTAATAATAACACCCCAATACATCAATATTAAGAACTAACAAATAAACAGAAAATAGTAAAATTGGTTTTATATAATTTCAGATACGAAAAGAGGCATACGATAAACAAGAAAAAGATTGGGCCGATCTTTTAAATATACTGGCCAGGTGCGGCACACTCAGCGATCGGGAAATGCAAAAGAAAAAAAGGTATTTATAATACTCTTCTAAGAAGATTTAGTTTTAATGTTGAAACAAAAATGTGTGGTCACAATCTAAAACGTCGTGGTATTGCCATTTTTTCAAAATCGAGTTATTTACTCTATCTATACATAATAACTTATTAATGTTAAAAAAAGGCGGTAATTAAAAAAAAAATCAATTCTGTTTTACCTATCTGTAGTATTGTATAGGTTTAAACGGGTTTGAAAATTTGTTTTTCCCCAAAATTTACAAAAGAAACTGATTTTTGTTCACGTTGCTAAATAAAATTCGTTCATATTCATTTTTTTTTTATATTTTATGATGGAAACAGTTCCAGCTTCATTCCTACAAAGATAACTCGTTTTAGGAATCGGGTCATCCTTTTAGAACGTGTTTTTTCTCGACACTGTATGAAATTATTCATAAATGTATACACATAATTTGATGCAACAGAAAGACATAACTATTCTAAATACAAATTTATACCTATTTTTCAATATCTTAGACATAATAGTGTATGGGGAAATAAAGAAAACTGGTTTTATTTATATTTTTTTCCCTTAATTGTGGGACAAATTATGGATTTTAGAAAATTTGATACCTAATGTCCTAATATTTCATTACCTACAAGATTTAACTTGTAATGGCTTACAGATTATTTTGATGATTTTTTGAATTACCTATCTAAATAATTATATTATACAACATTAATTGATGGAACGCTTTAAATTGTAAATAATACATTTTATTTATATACTTTTAGAAACTTGGAAGATGGAATAAAGGACTTCAACTTAGTTCTAGCTAACGAACAGAAAAATAAAGAAGAGTATTTGAATAACGTTTTGTACAAAACTAAAGCTTCGAATGAATTTTTTGATCAGTTTAATAAAACCAGTCGCTAATACACATATACCTACTTTTAGTCAAGTGGAAAATGTATTATTTTTTTTAAGTATTTCAATGATAATTATGATGAAAGTGATTACATAGAATCTGAATTTTACAGAGAGAGGAACTTATTGAATATGCTGCATTAAAGAACATATAAAACCAGGCGTCTCGTTGATAAAAACCTGTTGCATTTTGGGCACCAAGGTCAATCTCCCAATATCAACTAGGATGTACAACTTCCTTTGACATGTCAAAAATAAGTCCGTGTACATCCCTTGTGAAATCTTCAGTTCTAATGGAAGTATAGTCTGTATTGTCTGAAAGGTAATTCATTTTTTCAATATTTGATTTCAATGTTGGATTTAAATTACAAGTTAAAATGTATTTTAGTAAGAATTGACTGCAGCCACTACTGAAAATTCATCAATTTTGACTTACCTTTTAAAGCTCTAATAATACAAGACCGCCACATACAATATTATTATTTTTCATCTAGCCACTAAAAATATGTATCAGTATTGAATTACATAATGTTATTAAGCTAATTTTTAAAGCAAGTGAGGCATTTTTACTCTATGGGGCAGTACCTACCTATATAAAATATACGTATTTTAATTTATCCAATTAATCACTAAAGTCAAAATTCAAGACTTTTTCGATATTTAGAGTTCTGTTGGTCGATAGTGCATTTTCTTATAATAAAATTGTGATATCGCAGCTGTCATACGAAATACTACTGCAGTCTTGCGTGTTTATAAATAGAAATGTTTTACTAAATTTGTTTAAAAAAATTGTGAAATGCTATAAGTCTAACTTTGTGGGTTTATATGAGACTATTTCATAATATTTGAAAAAGTGTTTGTAAGTTTTTAAGTTTTTATAGTACCAAACGCATAGGTAAAGAACTATCTTTAAATAGCTTTTTCTCAAAACTAAACTTTTTCAATCGTGGCAGTATTGTTCTATAGTGATGAACTCGACAGTGAATGACAATGAACACAAATATCGACTATATTTTGTTCAAATTTAGGCGTCCGAGCAAAAAATGAACAAAAGTATTATGGAAGCCGAGAGCAACGAAGACAAAATGGCAGAAGTGTACAACGCGATCACAGGAGACTTTTTGACGGAAAATCCCGAACTCGGGTTCAACAGTGCTTTAGGGCCCGGAAAAATATCGACGTCGCTCTACAAAGGATTAACGGCGGCCATGAAACAAGCGATATACGATGAACAAGCCAGTCAAAGAGCAGAGCTTAAGGTATTTCATCTTCGTACAATTAAGAATAAATTAAAATTACTAATGAGTAATGATCAAAATAGTTTATTATTAATTTTATAATAATATTTACCTACCTAGCTGTCCCGCCCGGTGTAACCCGTGATAAAGATTTTATTTTTTTTTGTAAAAATATTTGTAAAAAATGTGTATTGGTATATGCTATTTGGTACAATTTGTGTAAATTCTCATTTCGCCTTGATCCCACACTAACCTCAACAAGTTAGGGGATTTTAAAAATGTATATTATGCACGTATTTATGGGTGTATCTATTATTATATATTTCATCCCCCCTTGTAGAATTCCTAAATAAGCCACTGCATAATATAGTTGCTTAATTACTATGTAGTGTGTACTACTAGTACTAGTAACTAGTATATAATTGTTTTGAAAATTTTGATGAACATAATTCAAAATTCAAATGGGTAGTAGTTTCTTAGTTATTAAAATGTTTGTACTAAGGATAATAGTTATTAAAAATAGTTTTACAGAAGTATAAAAAAAACGTAATATTTGATCTAGTATTTATTATACATATATTTGGGCCATTTACACAAATTATTAATGTTGATAGATTAATATTAATTATTAGAATTTTCAATTTAAAACAGCTCACATATCTATTATAAACCCGTTCGAGGATCATTCAACAGAAAGTTAAGTCACTTAAAAACTACTGGTAAACATTTTTATTCTGATTCGTCAAATTTTCCAAAATAATTATCCACTGAATAATTTACAGTTGAAAAACTGGACACTCATTAAGAAGTAAAAAAAATCTCGAGCATTTTAAAATATTATGGTTTTTCAGTGAATTTAAAAATTCCAAAAAACAGATTTTGAATAACTGCATATTATTTTTATTGAATAAAAAAAGAGGAAGGACATGCTTATTGAATCATCCTGTAATAAAAATATTTTTATTTGTACACAATATAGGTACATACTACTTTTTTAGTTTTAAAAATCCAAAATATCACGACTGTTCTTAAATATTAGAATTTATTATTATTTTAGAATCGGGTCGGAGCGATGAATTGATAGATTTTACAATATTATTTTCTTTAAAGTTTAAATAATATGTAGGTAATTCTTAATTTAAAAGAATAATTCACCAACATATTATTAATATAAAATATGTATAAATCTAACATTAAAATAGCAATACCCAACTCTTGTCAGGATTTGAATTGGACAAAAATTAAGACAATTCATTTAGGTACTTTTAAATGAATTCGGGTTATTTTTGTAATTAACTACAAATATTTCAGAATTTATTGGTAATGTATCGAGAGTTATAGTAGATATATAATATTGTATGCCCTCTCCGTCCATGAAGTATCCTTAATAATAACACCCCAATACATCAATATTAAGAACTAACAAATAAACAGAAAATAGTAAAATTGGTTTTATATAATTTCAGATACGAAAAGAGGCATACGATAAACAAGAAAAAGATTGGGCCGATCTTTTAAATATACTGGCCAGGTGCGGCACACTCAGCGATCGGAAAATGCAAAAGAAAAAAAGGTATTTATAATACTCTTCTAAGAAGATTTAGTTTTAATGTTGAAACAAAAATGTGTGGTCACAATCTAAAACGTCGTGGTATTGCCATTTTTTCAAAATCGAGTTATTTACTCTATCTATACATAATAACTTATTAATGTTAAAAAAAGGCGGTAATTAAAAAAAAAATCAATTCTGTTTTACCTATCTGTAGTATTGTATAGGTTTAAACGGGTTTGAAAATTTGTTTTTCCCCAAAATTTACAAAAGAAACTGATTTTTGTTCACGTTGCTAAATAAAATTCGTTCATATTCATTTTTTTTTTTATATTTTATGAAGGAAACAGTTCCAGCTTCATTCCTACAAAGATAACTCGTTTTAGGAATCGGGTCATCCTTTTAGAACGTGTTTTTTCTCGACACTGTATGAAATTATTCATAAATGTATACACATAATTTGATGCAACAGAAAGACATAACTATTCTAAATCTAAATTCATACCTATTTTTCAATATCTTAGACATAATAGTGTATGGGGAAATAAAGAAAACTGGTTTTATTTATATTTTTTTCCCTTAATTGTGGGACAAATTATGGATTTTAGAAAATTTGATACCTAATGTCCTAATATTTCATTACCTACAAGATTTAACTTGTAATGGCTTACAGATTATTTTGATGATTTTTTGAATTACCTATCTAAATAATTATATTATACAACATTAATTGATGGAACGCTTTAAATTGTAAATAATACATTTTATTTATATACTTTTAGAAACTTGGAAGATGGAATAAAGGACTTCAACTTAGTTCTAGCTAACGAACAGAAAAATAAAGAAGAGTATTTGAATAACGTTTTGTACAAAACTAAAGCTTCGAATGAATTTTTTGATCAGTTTAATAAAACCAGTCGCTAATACACATATACCTACTTTTAGTCAAGTGGAAAATGTATTATTTTTTTTAAGTATTTCAATGATAATTATGATGAAAGTGATTACATAGAATCTGAATTTTACAGAGAGAGGAACTTATTGAATATGCTGCATTAAAGAACATATAAAACCAGGCGTCTCGTTGATAAAAACCTGTTGCATTTTGGGCACCAAGGTCAATCTCCCAATATCAACTAGGAAGTACAACTTCCTTTGACATGTCAAAAATAAGTCCGTGTACATCCCTTGTGAAATCTTCAGTTCTAATGGAAGTATAGTCTGTATTGTCTGAAAGGTAATTCATTTTTTCAATATTTGATTTCAATGTTGGATTTAAATTACAAGTTAAAATGTATTTTAGTAAGAATTGACTGCAGCCACTACTGAAAATTCATCAATTTTGACTTACCTTTTAAAGCTCTAATAATACAAGACCGCCACATACAATATTATTATTTTTCATCTAGCCACTAAAAATATGTATCAGTATTGAATTACATAATGTTATTAAGCTAATTTTTAAAGCAAGTGAGGCATTTTTACTCTATGGGGCAGTACCTACCTATATAAAATATACGTATTTTAATTTATCCAATTAATCACTAAAGTCAAAATTCAAGACTTTTTCGATATTTAGAGTTCTGTTGGTCGATAGTGCATTTTCTTATAATAAAATTGTGATATCGCAGCTGTCATACGAAATACTACTGCAGTCTTGCGTGTTTATAAATAGAAATGTTTTACTAAATTTGTTTAAAAAAATTGTGAAATGCTATAAGTCTAACTTTGTGGGTTTATATGAGACTATTTCATAATATTTGAAAAAGTGTTTGTAAGTTTTTAAGTTTTTATAGTACCAAACGCATAGGTAAAGAACTATCTTTAAATAGCTTTTTCTCAAAACTAAACTTTTTCAATCGTGGCAGTATTGTTCTATAGTGATGAACTCGACAGTGAATGACAATGAACACAAATATCGACTATATTTTGTTCAAATTTAGGCGTCCGAGCAAAAAATGAACAAAAGTATTATGGAAGCCGAGAGCAACGAAGACAAAATGGCAGAAGTGTACAACGCGATCACAGGAGACTTTTTGACGGAAAATCCCGAACTCGGGTTCAACAGTGCTTTAGGGCCCGGAAAAATATCGACGTCGCTCTACAAAGGATTAACGGCGGCCATGAAACAAGCGATATACGATGAACAAGCCAGTCAAAGAGCAGAGCTTAAGGTATTTCATCTTCGTACAATTAAGAATAAATTAAAATTACTAATGAGTAATGATCAAAATAGTTTATTATTAATTTTATAATAATATTTACCTACCTAGCTGTCCCGCCCGGTGTAACCCGTGATAAAGATTTTATTTTTTTTTGTAAAAAAATGTGTATTGGTATATGCTATTAGGTACAATTTCTGTAAATTCTCATTTCGCCTTGATCCCACACTAACCTCAACAAGTTAGGGGATTTTAAAAATGTATATTATGCACGTATTTATGGGTGTATCTATTATTATATATTTCATCCCCCCTTGTAGAATTCCTAAATAAGCCACTGCATAATATAGTTGCTTAATTACTATGTAGTGTGTACTACTAGTACTAGTAACTAGTATGTAATTGTTTTGAAAATTTTGATGAACATAATTCAAAATTCAAATGGGTAGTAGTTTCTTAGTTATTAAAATGTTTGTACTAAGGATAATAGTTATTAAAAATAGTTTTACAGAAGTATAAAAAAAACGTAATATTTGATCTAGTATTTATTATACATATATTTGGGCCATTTACACAAATTATTAATGTTGATAGATTAATATTAATTATTAGAATTTTCAATTTAAAACAGCTCACATATCTATTATAAACCCGTTCGAGGATCATTCAACAGAAAGTTAAGTCACTTAAAAACTACTGGTAAACATTTTTATTCTGATTCGTCAAATTTTCCAAAATAATTATCCACTGAATAATTTACAGTTGAAAAACTGGACACTCATTAAGAAGTAAAAAAAATCTCGAGCATTTTAAAATATTATGGTTTTTCAGTGAATTTAAAAATTCCAAAAAACAGATTTTGAATAACTGCATATTATTTTTATTGAATAAAAAAAGAGGAAGGACATGCTTATTGAATCATCCTGTAATAAAAATATTTTTATTTGTACACAATATAGGTACATACTACTTTTTTAGTTTTAAAAATCCAAAATATCACGACTGTTCTTAAATATTAGAATTTATTATTATTTTAGAATCGGGTCGGAGCGATGAATTGATAGATTTTACAATATTATTTTCTTTAAAGTTTAAATAATATGTAGGTAATTCTTAATTTAAAAGAATAATTCACCAACATATTATTAATATAAAATATGTATAAATCTAACATTAAAATAGCAATACCCAACTCTTGTCAGGATTTGAATTGGACAAAAATTAAGACAATTCATTTAGGTACTTTTAAATGAATTCGGGTTATTTTTGTAATTAACTACAAATATTTCAGAATTTATTGGTAATGTATCGAGAGTTATAGTAGATATATAATATTGTATGCCCTCTCCGTCCATGAAGTATCCTTAATAATAACACCCCAATACATCAATATTAAGAACTAACAAATAAACAGAAAATAGTAAAATTGGTTTTATATAATTTCAGATACGAAAAGAGGCATACGATAAACAAGAAAAAGATTGGGCCGATCTTTTAAATATACTGGCCAGGTGCGGCACACTCAGCGATCGGGAAATGCAAAAGAAAAAAAGGTATTTATAATACTCTTCTAAGAAGATTTAGTTTTAATGTTGAAACAAAAATGTGTGGTCACAATCTAAAACGTCGTGGTATTGCCATTTTTTCAAAATCGAGTTATTTACTCTATCTATACATAATAACTTATTAATGTTAAAAAAGGCGGTAATTAAAAAAAAAATCAATTCTGTTTTACCTATCTGTAGTATTGTATAGGTTTTGTTGTAAACGGGTAACATGATAAGTATGAATGGGTTGACTCAGTCTAGTGGCGAGTAGTGCGTGTATGAGAACTGTCTGGTTCTCACGGATGCCTACGCGACGCCTACGAGACGCTGAGCGAACACATTCCGAAAGGCTCGGGACAGACCATGGGGACAGCCCCGCCAGCTAGAGTCAGTCGAGTCTGGTCAAAAGAGTGAGTAACACACGTGTTACTAAGCAGAGCATCCTTTATAGTTTATGACAGAGCCTCATATAATTTTTATCAGAACCTCTCATAATAATAGTTTTTTATTATATATATCAGTTCTTCAATATTTAATTTATTAAATCAGTAATAGTTTTATAATTATATACATTAATTCTTTAGTGTTCAATACAATAAATCGGTAATCTTATTTATAAGCAAACTGTGTGTTATTTTATTTGATGCCAACACCTACGGTTTTACATCATTCGACGGTGGACCACACTTCATTGGTGGCAGCGGTGGGATCTCTAAAAGGGAAAAATTGTCGCAATTCATTTTGCGACAGTGCAATTTTGGAGATCGCTAAAGAACTTATGTGAACTACCGCCGTCTGGGTTCAACTGGTTTTGGTGTCAGAAAATCACAAGGAAAAAAAAAAAAAAAAAAAACGGTACGGAAAATCTATACAATAATTCGTTCAGTATTTGGAAGCACGGGTGTCCACCAGAGGTATATATAGAGCACATATTATATATAATATAGTTTAATATATTGTCATTTTGATATTAAACACACCGCCGCCAGCATTGTCGTAACGGCGTGTCATATTATACATCCGATCGATTTGGTGTAATATATAAATATATAAGTGGGCGTATTTTATATACATCTATATACTTTATATCAACGGACGAGCGCGTCGGCATCATCGTCCCGCGCCGCCGTCTAGGCAACCCGTTCACGTTGTTCATACGATTTATAAAATAGTGTTAATTCGTTCAATACGCGGCGCCATTATATTCGTGGTTGAGTGTCGTATATAATATTCTTAATATCATACGCGCCGCCGCCGGTACGTAGTAGCTGTGAAACAGCGCTCCGCACACACCGACAAAGACGACCTTTGTCGTCGTCGTCGCCATCGTCGCCGCCGCCGGGACAACCTGTTACTACGTCACAATACGAGACAGCGCTCCGAGCACATTTACGGGGAGATTTCGGTCGCCTTCGTCGTCGTTGCCGCCGCCGTGTTACACAGTGTCACCGTCAGGGAGGAGTCTTCGTTCCAGTACGCGCCGTCGCCGCACAAGTAGGGACAAAGTCAACGTCGCCAGGCAGTGGGTCAACGTCGCCGAGCAGTGGGTCAGTGGAGCAATTCAATTATATTCACGCGGTAAACAATAACAATCGAGTATCAACACCATCATAATGCAACAGTATTTACTATATATCGTTTCGTAAGTTTTTATTTATAATTACTTGGGGCAATTAAATTATCTGGTACTTATTTCTTTAGTATAATAATTATTATTAGTATTCTTTTTCAAGTTATCTAGTATTGCTAGGATTGTCTTGCTAATTTTTCAAAAAGGGAGTTAATCCTAATTTAGTGGGATTTATTAATGTATTGGAATATTCTATTGTTGGGATTTTCTTAAAAAAAAAAAAATAATAATTAGCTTCAGTTTATTTAATTTATCTATCTAATAATCGGGCCTTTTAGCTAGTGCATGTCGAACTCAGGGTCAAATGATGGCATTGGTGGAGATTTAATAGATTTGGACAGCTTTAGTAGTGGGTCGTCTAGTGGAGAATTGTATGTACCAATTAGTGGTGTCCTACGAAGGGCAGGGGATACAATAGACCGAACGGACGAACTGTTAGGGTCAACTAGGTATTTACTAAGAAGTCAAAGGACCAAGCCACACACAGAACCTCAACCAATCCAACATTCAGAGCATACAGAAAATCAACAAAATTCAGAGCCTCCAGAGCATCAACAAAACACAGAGAATCCAGAAAATCAACAA